CTTCACCAATGATAACAAGTATAGATGCCCTCCCCCTCAAATATAGAAACCCAATTCCCGCCCAAATTATTTTGTCCCTGGAACCATATGCAACAGGTCTCATGTCCTCCAGAGAGCCAAGGTCTTCTTTCATCAGCATCTGGAAGGTTGAATTCCCAGATGGACGCAAGGAGGGGAGAGAAGCCGCCTCTCCATCCATGACTGTAGGACATTCAGGAAGTCCCCTTGCTGCCCCTTCCCTCCCCTCCCCCTTGCACTGGGGACATTCTGATCTCTGCAGGTCTCTGAGCTTTGTCCATGCAAGACAATCAGATCCTGGGAGGGGCCACAGTCTGGGGCCTGCAGAATGGCCAACACCACATCCCGCTTTGGGAAGGGCCCTTCCTGGAGACAAAGAGGAGAACATGGCGCCTTCCTCCCTCAGCAACAGGGAGCAGTCAGGCTCCTCCTGTTTCTAGCAATGGTCACCTGCCATTTCCTCCGAAGGCAGGGAGGGAAAGTGGAGGCAGTTCACTCTCCTCCACCAGAAGGAACCCAGGGAGGATGGGGAGAGGCAGGCCCCTCCCCACAGCCCCACCACCTCTCCCCCAAACTCCTTTCCCTTCAGTGTTTGAGATGAGCCAGAGAGAAAGGAGAGTTTTCCCAAAGCATCTTCACTATCAATGGGTCCTTTGACCTGAAAGCCCTCACCATCCTTCCTCCTCCTCCCCCCAATACAGCCCCCACCGGGGACACTCACCTCCCAGGGGGCTGCTAAATGGCCTCGTTGCTCCCTACATTGGGAAGAAAGACAAAGAGTGAGTCTCTCCCTAGTCCAGATCCTCTGAGGAGGAGGCATCTCTCTCTGCACCATTAAACCTCTTCAGCTCCACGAACCTCTCAGAGGAGACTGGGCTGTGCAAGCAGAACAGTTGCTAACCACTGGGGCTCATGACATTTCTGGTGGTTTCCCTACTTCCCACCCAAAGCTGAGGGGCTTTTTCCTCCAAAGGAGGCCAGACTCTGCCATGCAAGCTCTGGAGCTGCCTTCCCTGCCTGAATGAAGGAGGCTGGAAATCCAACAGGGAGAGAATTTCCCTTTCTCTTCTGCAGAAACAAAGCAGTGGGAGAAAAGTGAATTTTGTAACTGTGTTAAAAATCAAGGAAAAGAGAGGAGGTGGGAGAAAAGTGAAGTACTTGATTTTGTACAGGATAAAAGGAGGAAGAAGGAAAGAAAGAGAACAAAGTTATTAAAACTTGAAGGAAAAAAGAGACTTTAGTAACTCCTTGGGATAAGCAAAAAAAAAAAAAAAGTAATTTCACTTAAGCCCCCTTTTAATGAGAAACCACTTCTCCAATCCTATACTTTCTGTTCAGATACTCATGTAAAATAATTTTAGTTGTTTGTGAACAACTTGCCATCTAAGTAAAGAGGAGAAAAAACATACGGTAATTCTCTCACATTTAAGATACTACACTATGCAAAAAAGTGTCCATAGAAAGGGCAACAATATCAATTTAAATCTCAATAGATTTATCTATCCCTTGTTCTAGATCTATCCCAATAAATCCTGGTTTCACCAGAACCACACACAGAGGAAACACATGGAGTGTGCATTAGGAGGCCCTTTAAAAACAGGGGGAGTGGGGGGCTCTCCCTCTTTTCACTCCTCCCCAACCCCCAGCACTCTTGCCAAGAGCAGAATTGCTCTTCCTCATTCAGGAGCACCTCCCTTGGCTTACCTGGGCCTGAACTGTGGGATTTTTTGTCACTCGCTGGAACAGAAAGAAAAGATAGTGGGGAGGTCAGTCCCTTGGCTGGATGGGAAGAGGTGGGGAGACTCTGCTCTTTCTGACCCCAGCTCCCTCTCCCCTTCACACACAGACGCACAAATACACCGACAGAGTTTCAACCAAACTCCTTTAGCTAAGAGACATACCAAAGAATTCTTAACATACATACATACACACATACATACTTACATATATCCACACAGAGCAATATTTCAGCAATTCTACAGCCACAGGGTGCAGCTGAGGTGAGGATACGGATGGCTCCAAAGTTTCTTTTTCCAATCAATTCATACTCTGAGAGCCTTGTGATGGCAGACTGAGAGGAGATCTAGCTGGCATCTACCAAAGCTTCTTTTCTCCTAAATCCCTTCTTTGTTCACTACTTTTATGGAGTTTCCTGAACAGATTATGGCCAAGCCTCTCCTCTCCGGATACTTGGAAAACAGAACAGCTTCTCCATCAGATGGATCTTCCACCCAATCAGGTCTTCTCACCTTCTTGAGGGTTCCTTATACCAGACGTTTCTCCTTGTGGTCTCTACTTCTGGGGATAACCTGGCTTTAATGAAAAGGGGACCCACCTCCCCCAACCTGGTTCTTGGGAGGAAGAGGAAGATAGCACAATACTGCAGCTTCATGAGCTGCTTTTGTGTTTGGACACACACAAACACATACACACACACACCCTTCAACTGATGCTACCTCTGATCCCCTCTCTGAATTGGAGCTAACATAAAGAGGACAAATCACTCACTTAATGCTGCCTTGTAGCCTTCTTGATGTTTCTCTGGAAGGACAAAAATCAGTCAGAAATAAAAAGAATCCACCAGAGATCATCCAATCTCTCCCTCTGGAGGAGGAAGAGCCCCAGGAGGTGTTTTCACAGTTGTTTAGTCACAACCTCTCCTGGCAGCTACTATTTAAGAGACACAGGAAGATCTTCAGCCTGCAAAGACACCACCTGATTTGCTCCAGGAGAGACCTTCTGCCTCTGAGATGGATGGAGGGAGATGGGGAAAGCAGCAGCAGCTGCAAGAGGAGGAAGAGTTTCACTGAAATCCTCCTCTGCTGGTCTTTGACCAAAGCCTTTGGAAGGGACAGAACCGCATCCTCCCAGCTAAGAAGAAGACACGACTGTCTGGACCTCAGACTCTGCTGAGCCAAGACTGGAATCCCAGCAAGAGGCCGAGATTTCAGATGCTCCCAAAGAGGGCTGGGAAAACAGGGAAGAAGCCAGCCCAGAAGGAGCTTCCAAAGGGAGAGGCTTGGGAGGAATCTCCCCACCTTCCTTAACAACCACCCAGCAAAGGTAGTTACAGGATACTTACTGAGAAATACCAAGATCCCAACAATCCCAACAATCACCAGGACAACAGCCACAACAGCCACAACGCAGCCAATGATGAGCCCCAAGTTAGATTCTGGAAGTGAATTGGGAGAAAGAGCAGATAATTGATGGAGAACCCCAAACAATCATCCCCAGTAGGAGAGAGACCTAACACAGCCAAAAGACTGGAAATACCCCAAATTAAAAAGAATAAGGGCTCATCCTTACATCCCTCTAATTGTAGCATGAAGACCCCTTGCTAACCATGGTTAGAGGACGTTCCTCATGACGCTGCCTTCGTCTCACACCAGCCCAGCCGAAGGCAGCTATTCATCTTTAGCTGTCCAGCTCAAAAGCAGCAGTTTGTAACCTTGTGGCTTGCAGCAGTTTACAGAAATAAACACTTCAACAACACAACAATATAAACAAAACTAGTGAAATCTTAAACACATTTTTGTTCTTTTTACACGCTGCCCCAATATGTCATGACTGCAGGTGGAATTGGGCAGCTCTGTACGCTATCTTTTTTCTTAAGCTTGAATATTTGCATTTAATCATTTAAAGTAAAAGGGTTCCTATCACCTATCTCTTTTTTTAAG